AAAAAGTGGACCGCAGGTGTTGAAATTGTAAACACATGTCTGTCTTCCAAGAAATTCCATCCGTCTCATCTTCGCTCTCTTTCCCTTTTCTGTAATCCCACCAGATTTCTGTTGGCAATGTGTGTAACCTACATGATATATAGGGTGCTTCGTATCGACAATCATATTCGCAGGACGTTGTTAAGGTTGGGGCATCTCATGGTTTGTGTAGTCCTACCAGTTAATAAAAGTGTATCCCCTTTACGGATGTGATAAGATTTGTTCAATCCAGATCCAGGCGCGGATCCAAGGGGGGGCGATTGGGGCGACCGCCCCCCTGAGAATGAAGCAACAAATGCACCAAAATTAAGAAAAATATGAACTAAGAATCGTTCGAACTCGGCGGAAACGGTAAATCTAAAATTCTAAAGAGTAAAGACTAATCCCGTTTCAAAACTTTCCTGGTAATATACACATTGTTGACATGTATCGTTGTAGTTATTTAGAAAAACGGGGACGCTACAAAAATTATGATTCAGTAGTAAGTAAAGTGCAGACTTCACCACTTCATGTGCGTGTCGTGCTCGTGTGAACTGCTAATCTATTCTGATAACCGAACCAGAAAAGTAAACAATCGGCGTCAATCGTCCGGTCGTCCTTTTGGAATTAAATGCTTTATTCTTTAATTTTTCAGCATCGTAAATCGTATCCGTTCCCGTATCAATATTTTCCGCCTGGATTTAATTACTGTGCCAACATTTTGGTGCATATGCAAAATTAATATTGATTGTGCTTGCAATGCAACTTGAACTTGCCAGCGCCGAACGTTCATTCTCATCATTACGACGTCTGAAGACCTGGTTGAGATCAACGATGCGTCAAGAACGGTTAACAGGACTCGCCCTCCTTAATATTCACAGAGAACTTGTCGAAGATGACAATTTTGCACACCATGTACTTGATCGGTTTGCTAATTCCAAAAATAGAAGACTTGACATTATCTTGTAAATATTTCTTTATAAATTGCGTTAAAACTCAGAATCTTTACTTTTATTTAATCGCCCCCGGTGAAAACTTCTTCTGGATCCGCGCCTGCGCCTAAAGCTATATATATATGGTTGTAATTTGGGTTTGTTGTTCCTATTCTCAGAAATGTTATGGGCGATACTAATTTTATTCCTATTTTTTGAATTTCTCTTGCAATAACCTCGTGTGGAATAGTGGGGCTTACGTTGAACAGAATTAGGCGCTCGGCTGGCGTTACTAGTCTGCGGGCTATCAAATTTTGTCCTTTTATTCCGATTGATCCGTGATCTCTAAGAAAGTTGTCAACTGTTTAAATATATGCATATTCTTTTATTAGAGACTAGCTGACCCGACGGACGCTTTCCTCTTTCTTAGCTTGAATACCTATTCAATTCGAACTGGAATAAATAATTACAAAAAATGATTTCAAAAAATTTGCTGTGGCTAGCACACTTAGGTACCACCCGCCCCACCTGCGCCTGCCCTTTTATGTGTAAGAATATGTGTAGCAAATTTGGTTTAAATCGGTTCAACCGTTTAGTCGGAAAAGAGATTTTGACACCCTTGCCCCAAAATCTCCCCATCTCTCCCCAAAATAATAAAAAATAAACGCACTCACTTCTAGTTGCTTTTGGCGATTCAGAGCTAGCAACGTACCTTTTTTTTTGTTGCACCAAATGCCGTAATTTAAAAGCAATTATTGTATTTCTGGATATGATTCAAAAAATGTATAGAATCTGGCCCATTTCCGGATACCAAAGAATGTAGTGACTCTGGTGGCGGTACCAATGGCGTCAATTTCACTTGGCCACTGGCGCAACATAATCCAGGGGCGTCAGTTTTAATCTTAAAAGCCTTGCAATGTGGACACACAAAGTTCTTTGGTCTAATAGCAACGATTTATTGTAAACTGTAATCGATTGCTACGTTATAATTAAATGCAACTTGATAGGGATTAAAGGGGACATTTCTGCGTTGTTCATATCGATTCCGTTAACTTCGTTTCGAGCTTCGCTTTTCTCGTCAGTTTGACTTAAGTACTCGTATAGATGTTTGACTTGTAGGATTACGAATTCTGCGACTTAAGTTCGTGCTATGCTGGTACGTCAGCATCTTGAAAAAACTAAAATTCAACTGAAAATAGAAATTGACTCCCTTGGTGTTTCTGTATAACTATGTACTCGTATACCACGTGTTTAGTCTATCAACATTCAACACTTACCAAAAATGGATATTAGGTATATCAAACTTTTAGTAATACAAAAGGCGTGATTGCGGTGAATAACCTCGAAACTTCTCAAAAAACTCACTGAAATCTGGATAAACTATCCGATCGAATTGACAGCACACTATGATATGAATAAATTAATTTTTTGACGGATATATGCCGATCCATTGCCGATCGATGTAGCTGTTAAAACAATTGCCGTCGCACCGTCAAACGCGCGATGTTTAAATAGTCGATAAGTTTTCTCCAATTTTCCAATTTTCTGCGCGATTTTCTTAGTTTTTCTTGCCGTAAGAACCTTCTACACAGTATTAGAAAACTTAAAAAAAAAGATGAATGAAATCGGTAAAGTCGTTCTAAAGTTATTGCGTGACCAGAAGAAACAGGGGTTCATTTTTATATAGAGAATTATATATAAGTAATATATAAAATATAATAATATAGTATGAGGTATATATTATAATGCCCGACTATCAGGCATATAATGTATTTTGACTTGTAAACATAAGAGATTTGTATGTTCAGAGTTTTATTTAAGCACTCTGTATTTTGCAATGTGTCCTCTCTGCTCTCAGACACAGGGCCAAGTCAAGGAAACCAGGCTACCTATTATCCTCGAGCAACACTCCCCCAACCATATTTTCCTCCACTGTCTCCATTTCCCAATCTGCATAAGTTTTTCTTTGGTAATTTCAAAACCACAAAAAGAATGCAAAAAACTATTTTCCCACTGCTGCAAAAATTGAACGAGTAACTGAAAGGATAAATAAAACTTGACTTGATGGTGAAAGTTACACCAAATTAGAATTAGAAGAGACAGCAGTTCATTACTCGAGAAGTATGTTGTGGGGTTAGACATATAATGAATGGAACAATAAGGGCAAAAGCACGAGTTTCAAAATGAACTTTCACTCGTGAAAAATCGCATCTAGATATGGTAACCATAAAAAGTTTGTAAATTAGGATAGGAATTGTCTTATAGTACGCATATAATGTCTAAACACAACCTAGAAACTTTGAAACACGCACAGGACTCTGGGATGCGTCTAACATACCTACTACCTGATGTAGGCGAGCTAATATATCATTCACCTTATTATCAACGAAATCAGTACCTCATTAGATTACTACCACTACTACGGTGACTTTTATTTGTTCATAAGATTCATATATAATTATTGTATTTCTTATATACACGCTTGGTTTCAATTATTTCTTGGTGGGGGGGGAAATTAAGCAAATACGAGTAAAATAGAAAAAAATCAACAGTAATTATAACTCCCATAACTAAAATTAAATTATTGCTCTTAATCACAAACGCGCATATTAGGGAACTTACTTACCAAAACATATTACTCCAAAAGTATACAAAATAATGTCTATGAGGCCCATCATCAGAAACTTGAATTTGATAACTTAGCTGTCAATCCTGTCATTTACATGTGTTCAAATGAATAAACACAGCAGCTTGTTTCAGACGATTGGAACTGAACGACATCACCGAAATCCCAACGAAGGCGTTCGCAGCACACAAACGTTTACGGAGAATGTACGTATGCAAATGATGAGTAATTTTATATTTATCTGCTTTGTAGAGACCTGAGCAATAACAAAATATCAAAAATTGCTCCCGACGCCTTTCAAGGCTTGAAGGCGTTGACATCCCTGTATGTATTATACCAAATTGTAAAAATCTGCTTCATCGTTCTGATTTTAGAGTGTTGTATGGTAACAAAATAAAGGATTTGCCGGCTGGAGTGTTTCACGGTTTGGTTTCATTACAACTTTTGTAAGTGCGGGCGGTCTTACTTTGTAAGTAGTTTAACTTGGGATTATTGCAGATTGCTGAATGCCAATGAAATATCGTGCATCCGGAAGGACGCTTTCAATGATCTTCACAGTTTAAATCTGCTGTACGTATTTTCTATCTTGTTTTTTTTAATAAGTTATATAACTTAATAAGGGAATATGTGTAGATTTGTATTTTTTATTTGGTACGTGTACGTAAAAGATGGTATATACTTATTGATGCAAGATCAGGCATTTATTTCATTGGCCCATTTTAGCATCATGAATGGGTTTGACTTTTCTATGCACAATGTGTGATTCTTTTAATTTTGCATAGTCCTTGAGTATGTATAAGTACTACACCTACTTAGATTTGTGACTGTACCACTCAACAAGGTCGATCTTTGTAGAACAGAAAACTGTGATATTTATTAAGGAGTATACATAGGGATTTGCGTGTATTATTTTCCATATGTCTACTTTTAAATGACAAAATCTCTTCTGATGGGCGCCTAATTTTATGCATCCAAAATAACTTCTCAAAACAAAAACAAATCTGATTGTCATATTACTTAATTTGAATATTGTTGCTTAGTCTTCACTGAAAATAACTGTTTTACGCTCCTTAAACTGTTACCGGCTCTATACCAATTGACCATATCAACGGTTTCTTCAGTTGAATACATCGCACAGCCGCAGTACTGAACTTCGCCCTTAATTTTTGATGTACCTTGTTTTTTTTTTAATAATAAAGGCAATATTATTATTATTATCAGATCCACTTGTGGGTGAGAAACTCTCTGGATCCATAGCAATGGGGGTTGAAAGAAGGGTCGTCAGCGCTAGAACCGGTCCGCATCGTGTCATGCAAGACAGGGTGCGGACCAAGATGTGGCTGTCAGTATGCAGGCGTCCCAAACTTGGCCGCGTGCTCTGAATCATCTGAATGCAATGGGCTATGCCTCAACCGGTCCAGTGCCCCTCATAGGGGAGTTGTCAGACTAAGAGCTTTATGGATGAATTGTGTATTTATATTTTGTTTAAGGATTTTCTTAGGAGAAACCCCTGGGGAACTGGACTTCATAGACTTTTTCTACTTATACACCTATATAAGTATCTACCCAAATGGTCAAAGCTAGAAAAAATCATTTAGCATATTTAATGAGTTTTTTTTTGTAAATATAAGTAGTGGTTATGGATAAGTTTATTGAGGAAAATCTGAAAAAAAGTGCAAATGAACGACTGATTTTTATTTAAAGCAGAAAGGTCGCCTTAGAGGAATTTTTATTCACATTTTCAATGTGGTACATAGGTACTTAAAATATGAAAAATGTAATATTCCTTATTAATTTATTTCACTTTCTTACGGTAGCGGTTAAGGCGGCTCTGCAGTGAATTAAGATTTCGATCTTGCGCCTACACAGAAAAATTTGTAGGCAACTAACAATACAATTTATTGATGTTTCTAATGTGGATTCTAAAACGCTGCAGGCTATAGGTGCTATTCATTCACAAACAAAGCAATTAGTACCTAAGTAAATGAATTGAAATACCTCTTTTCTGTCTTTTGTAATTTGTTGAGCTGGATTTATTTTGAAATGACTACATTAGTCATAGACAGATACAATTACCGTTACCTAGAAGTATTCAGCCTTTCATTATCATTTAAATCTGAAAATTTACTTGCCAACATAGATTTTTATGATCTGTCGAAAGAAAATATTATCATGATTTTTGCACTACCGTTTCTACCGGATGTCTATAGTAACTTTCTTATTTTAAATAAAACACCCTGTATTTTATTACATTTTCGGAATCTACCACATTTCCCTATACCCAGCATCTAAGGTTTTCAAGTAATTCAAGATTTTTCAAAATTCAAAAATTAACAGTAGGTACTGACTTGATTCTACGTGACAATGATTTAAATTTTGATCGCCCTTTTACAGGGTGTTTTAAAACGAATGGTCAACTTTATTAATACATGCAGATACATGCTTTATTTTTTTGCACTTTCAAATGTCGAAAAAAATTCTACAGCAATTTAGTATTACGTTCCGTTTACCTATCTGTTATGCGTTCCGTTATATTTTAGATTTTCTAAAATTGTGACCCTTATGCATTTTCTTAGAAAGCTTTGAAATAACGTTAGAAGACTTGTCAGACCTTTTTATAGTTATAGTTGATAGTGATGGTAGATGAATATAAAGTTAAATAAAGAAGACATAATAAACAGAAACAGGTAATAATAACAAACGACAATATAAAAAACCAACATCAATTGAGGTTTTGTTCTACGTGGCCGCCGTTTTTTTCAATAGGTACATAATAGGATCTTCCCATTAATTCCGTTGGTAGTCGTCTCTCTAATGTCTGTCATTTCATCAAAAGCTCTGCCTAACTTCCAGTTCTTCACGAAAAGCAACTGGTGTGAAGTAAATGTTGTCTTTATATGACCCCACACAAAAAACCCCAATGGCGTTATATCTGATAAGTTCTAGGAGGCCAACGCCACGGACCTCTGGCTCCTATCTTCAAAAAATGTTCGTCAAAGATATACAGTGTCGTATGTATAAGCATCATGGATAGAATGAGCCCGCGCTCCGTCATGTTGAAACCAGTTGTTTTCTTCATGTAAATTCTCAAATGCTGGTAAAATAACATTTACTAACGCTTTTAGGCCTCCTAAGGAAATTATGCATAACGGTCACATTTTTAGAAAATCTATAATAAAACGGAAAGCATTACAGAATGATATGTACGAGTATAGGGAATGTAATACTAGATCATTGTAGAATGTTTTTGACATTTGACAGTGCAAAAAAATAAAGCATGTTTCGTTTGAAAAAATCAACTTTTTAAGGTTTGAAGTTAAATGAAGTTGAACATTCGTTTTAAAACACCCTGTAATAGGGCGAACAAAATTTAAATCATTGCAGCATCAAGTGAGTACTGCCGATTTTGGAATACTTTTTAAAATTGAAGGCAACGGAGTCATAGATACAGGACTCAAAAAGATAACAGCCAAACATCAAAAATGTTCAAAATGTTGAATAACTTGAAATCCTGCATATAGGGGAAATTGGTATCAAACGGCGTAAATTGTCATGTAGATTTGGAAAATACAGGGTGTTCTATGTAAAAGAGAAGTTGCTATCGACATGCGATAGAACCAGAAGTGAAACGATCATTCTTTCGATAGGTCAAGAAAAACTATGTCGGTGTACCTACACATTGTCAGATGTAATTGATCAATGAAAGCCTGAATACTTCTAGGTATCGGTTTGCGTGACACGGCCTGTAATACTTGGTGTAATTACGGAAGTGGGTGTCCACAAGAATCTTATCATTACAAACTTCTAATCAATGAAACCAGTAAACAAATTACAAATACATTAAATTACATTATTATCTAATTATAGGATGGTGTTAATGACGCCGGACAAAGCTCAAGGCGGTGAATTCCATTGCAGATAACAATGAATAGCCTAATCTCTAAAGCTATTGTTAGAAAAATGAATAGGATTAATTCGCAATTGCCAGTTAATGACAATTTCGCCGGCGGGTGTATGGTGTAATTTAAGTTGCCTAACTGTGCTTTCAATTGGTGAAATACTTCATGATGTCATCAAAACATTTTCCCCAATTTTTGTTGTTAATTTAAGGGATGAAAAAGATATATCTATGTACAATCATACAGTTTTGTTCGCTGGTTGTAAATCGCCAAAACCCATGTCTGTACCTATGTTTTATAGAGGCGCCGTTATCTTAAAGACAAGCTTTATCAATTGTAGGTACTAGTTATTTCCAAAATTATGGCAAACTTCAAAATTTGGTTTACGCACAATCATTCTGTTGATTAATACCTACAATATTTGACGTCGACCCTTTTTAAATGCGGTTATAAAATCAAAATCTTAAAGAAATGATTCGCTGTTTTGCGGATAGTTCAATATTCACTGCAGAGCCGCCTTAAGTAGGTATCTTTCGTTTATCTTCTCTTGTAAATCTCCTGTAAATTAACATTTTCCCTAAACCTTGAACCAAACCACTAATCCAACCAAATTTTATTTTGTGTAGGCAGTGTAGGTATATGCACCTATACCTAATGATTATATGAGTGTTCAATTAATGCCAAATAAACGGGTCCTTTGTAGTTTGTACCTATTTATATATTAAAGCAATGTCAATGCATTATCTCAAAAACAAGTAGTTATTAATATCGTCGAGTAAAAGACTTTGACTCAACATTAATACCTACTCTCTCATATTTAGTCTACACATTTAATACTTATAGTTTCAATCTACTAGGTCGCTGTATGATAACAACATCCAGTCATTAGCCAATGGAACGTTCGACTACCTTAAAAGTATACAAACCCTGTAAGTATGACAGTAAATTAATTACATTATAATAATTAAAATTCAGTCATTTAGCGAGGAATCCTTTTATATGCGATTGCAATCTTCGATGGCTAGCCGAGTACCTTCATCGAAACCCAATAGAAACGAGTGGAGCGCGATGCGATACGCCAAAGCGTATGCAACGGAGACGAATCGAATCTCTCAAAGATGAAAAGTTCAAATGTAAGGGTAAGCACCTCCACTAGATAATCAGTGGTAACGGTGTTCATTTATTTTAACACTTTAATCTCATGTGTCTGTAAATAACTTCATCTCTAATAAGATCGTACACATCGCGCATTTGTGGTTTACACCTGGATTGACCCCTAGAAATTTTAGGTCAGGAAGAGTTCAGAACGCGTTACGCCGGCGAGTGTCTTATCGACAACGCCTGTCCGAGTGGGTGCACTTGCGATGGTACCAATGTCGATTGTTCCGGACGCGGACTTAAAGAAATCCCACGCGACATACCGTTATATACAACAGAATTACTGCTACAAGACAACGATCTGGGAAAAATTAAATCCGACGGCCTTTTTGGACGACTGCCAAATTTGGTTAAGCTGGATTTAAGGCGTAACCAAATAATCGGCATTGAAAAGAATGCGTTTGACGGTGCGAGTAAAATATCGGAGTTGTTGTTGTCCGAGAACAAATTGTTGGAGATACATAACAAAATGTTTTATGGTTTGCACAATTTGAAGGTATTGAGTTTGAATAATAATTTGATAACTTGCGTAATGCCGGGAGCCTTTGACCATTTGACGTCGTTGCACACTCTGTAAGTTCCACACTTGCGCGAAACTACCCCATTCATTACAAATTGTCTAGGAATTTGGTACAAAACCCATTCATATGCAACTGTCATTTGGCTTGGTTTTCGGAATGGTTGAAGAATAAGGGACTGAGCGGTTCGTCTCCCAGATGTGCATCGCCAGATAAAGTGAAAGATGTGCTAATCAAGGAACTGCCACAGAGTGAGTTTAAGTGTACGGGTGACGGCGACCAAGGTTGTTTGGGGGATAATTACTGTCCACCGATGTGTACGTGTACTGGAACTGTTGTGAGGTGTTCCAGAGCTAAACTGAAAGAAATACCTAGGGGAATACCGGCCGAAACATCCGAGCTGTATTTAGATGTCAATGAGATACAAAGCGTACAAGCCGAGCGTATGGCACATTTGAAAGCGCTTACAAGACTGTGAGTATTTGTTAGTCTAATAAGTCAAATCACCTGTCGCATTTTAGAGATTTGAGTAATAATCAAATTGGAATATTAGCAAACAACACCTTTAATAATTTGTCAAAGCTATCCACGCTAATTATAAGCTATAACAAATTACAGTGTGTTCAAAGGAACGCACTTCTTGGACTGAAATCGTTACGAATCTTGTAAGTATTCTTAAACCGGGTGCTGTATGGTTAAAGTGGACGAAAATGGTTTATGAAAGATTTCAGTTCAAGTGAGCATAATCTAAAATAGCATCAAGTTAATTTAAACAATACTATAATCTGTTCACCCAACAGATGCAGTTAAACCACTCCCAATAAATTTTTGCCCATGTAATAGGACACCCGTTTTAGCCTGTAACTTTTGAACTAGTAGCCCAATCTTGGAACTGTTTGAAATTATGGATTCTACAGGCTACATTCTATAAGAAAAATTTTTTCCCGGGTCGATCTGAGACAATTTTTTTTCGGGCCTTAAAAAAAAGGCAGTGTATAACCTTCCTTTTTTACCAAAAATCGACTGCACCAAAATTTCTCGGGAAAACACTTTTTCTTATTAATTTTGGTGCGTAGATCCAAAACAATTCGTACTTTTTCGATTAGACTTCTCAATCAAAAGTTATAGACTAGAAACCAATTTC